CTTCCCGTTCCTCCTACCTACACAAAGCCTCTTCCTCCTACATCTGTCTTATAACGTCTCCGCAGGTGGCTCTAGCCTTAAATACACAAAGGAAAGTGAAAACTTCGAGACATTTGTTATCAGTGAGGATGCATTTAGTGTAAATATAGACACGCAATTTTGAGAATGGGCCGTAAGGAGAGAGGACGACAGAACAGTTTATAGTTGAGACAAACTATAAATGGAAGAAGGGGATGTGACAGTAAATAAAAAAAAGAGTACAGGAATAGTGGTAGGGACAATAAGCACGTTCGTAGTCGTGATCAGCGTAATCGCGTTGTTTGGTCGGGAAGGAGACAGGGGGAGGGGAGATTGAAAGGGAGAAGTAATTTTGGAGTGTACACAAGAGACTACATAGTACGGGAGTGTAGGTGTGAAGACGAGTATTTCTGGTTGACATGCAAATTTGAGGTAAAAGAGGTTTACACGTAGCTGGCGGGAGTGGGCAACTGCTCGATCGCCAGTGCGTCTCGCGTTGAGTCTTAAAGTAGCGGAACACACAGAGTTACTTATAAATGTTGAGTAGAGTAACTATTTTACAAGCATTCAACTGAGGCCCCATAAGAGCACACAAGCAAGGTCGGGAATCACGCGAACCAATCCAAACCGTAGCTAACAGATGGTGCAATCGTGAATCAGAATGGAGTAAATTCAACTTCATGTATATCACGCCACCTCAAGAAAGGCGAGGTGTTAAAGACACCCCAGACTATGACTGTGTACACTTATCGCCCTTAAATAATACCCAATGATATGATATCTCCCGTTCCGCGTCACACTTTGGATGAGGGTCAAATGAAGAACCTCAACTTTCATATTAACAAGTGCTTTTGCCAACAGGTACATACAGAGAGAGCCCTTTTTTCAGTACCAAGACTTTAGCAGAAAGCCCAAAAAGAATGCTACGTTTATAATGCTTACTTTATAACTTTGTAATAAGCAGTAATAGAGGAATCGGTACTCTCTGCCACATATTTCATTGGCAAATTTATCTTTCTAGCTCGCGCCATAATCACAGCATCGCCCAATCATGTTGAAAAACGTCGGAGTGAAGGTGGCCAAGAATCGGTAGAGCTCCGAGTCACTAATGCCAAGGCGTAAATCTCTGAGCCAGCTGTTTCGTTATCAGACCAGTTGCCTCTCACTTGGTGACCCGAGTACGTAGCACAAGTCACGTAAACTCGGGATCACTATTTCTATCAAAAGGTCGAGAATTAATGTGAACTTTCTGTTAAAAAACGGTACCGATTCACTCCAATCCACCAAGACAGGAAGCAACAAATCAACCATCCACCTTGTTTTGGTCAAAGGCGGAGTAATGTAGCGGTTCCTATGACCTCGTTAAACAGAATCAGCAAGAAGACGACAGAACCATAATTTCTTAGGCGCCAAACGAATGTCTAGCTGGAGCAGACATTCTACCCTCGAACGAAAAACTAAGAGAGCGACTAAGAAATAACACAAATTGCTGGGAATACTAGCTACTTTTAAATTAACGGGGAAAAGTAGAAAAAGCTTTTCCTCATAATTTCATTGTGTTAAGGTGGAAAAGGTAGAGAATGAATGGTTCTGGTCTCTTCTCCGCACTTTTCACGATCCACTTCATGAGTGAAGATGACATTTGATCGACCTGGTGTGAGAGAGTACACGAAAGGTGATGGAACAGAACAACGAGGTGTTAACAGGCTCCTTCGCACCACCGTGCTCAGCCGCTTTTAAGCCGAGGTTAGAAGTAGCTTTCTTAGACCATCCGCCTGAACATAAATCGGTGAAATCAGCCCACCTCCAAGTCGAAGTGGAAATCCCAATCGCCTGATGGACAATAGTTTCAACATCAAATTCAACACCTCCTCCAAGAATTTGGGACTGGCCACTAAATTAGACAATTAATAAAAGGCAAATCTAGATTCACATCGACAAAAGCCTGTTTTATTTTAATACCTTTAATAGGGTAACCGAAAATCAACGCAACTCCAAAAAACAAGCCATGAGTGATAAACAGCCAAAGACTACCTGTCAGTAGAAAACAAAGTGGAAAGGCACTTGGATTTCACCGTGCGAATTAAAAACAGTAAAGTTCCCACCACAATGCCTTTTACTTCCCTGATGAAACGGATGAGGACGCGACCGACGGAAATTAGACGCAAACCTCCTGCAAGAAGCAACTCAGTTATCAACCTACTCAGACTTATGATTCCTTGATGGGAAAGGGCGTTGATGCTACCTCAACGGCCTAGCCAGACCTTTGAGCTAATGATGAATTGCAACGAGGAACTGGAATGCGGGATTATATAAAAGAAAGCGAGAGGAGTGAATCTGGCGTAAAATGGTAGGGTTAACCAGCCTCCACATCAAGGGAAACAAAGTTCCTCCGCCTGTTTATGATACCGCACAAACGGTAAGAAAAAGACCCCTACTTTCAATTTATTATCCCCTGACCAATCTGGTGGAAGCTGTAACGATGAATTTCACAAGGAACATGGTCAAATCAACTATGTTAATTAACAAAAAAGTAAACAGAACCCAATGCGTCGATTTCCTAGTCAAAAACGGTCTCGATTGCATTTAAAGTGCTCACATTGCCACACGAACAATGAAGAATAAAAATACAACGAAAAGGCAAGGGAGTAGATAATAACCGACTTCTAGAGGTAAGTGGTTCAACCAGTCAGATAACTATCCAATTAGTTACTGACAACTGGCTCAGATGGCTAGAAGGTCATCCAATCAGAATGACGAGAGATCCCTTCAAAAGTAGCTCCAATTCAACGAAACCAATAAGGGAAAATTCGCTGCAGGAGAAATTTCGACCAACTAAGCATTTAAGTATCCCGGTCACCAAGGTGGTAACCATCGGATGAACTCAGAAACACTGACTCGTCAGATAAACAGCTCAACGAGCCCGTCAGTCAGCTGTCCAGTTGATCAGGAATTATCGAACTAGGACAGTGGAGTCCATTTATAGGCGAACAGGCGCCGAAGGACCTTATAGTTATAAAATCCCAATTCTGATAACTAGCAATCTGAGGGCAAATTGCAGATCGTGCTGGGTCAGGCCAGTAAAAATCCAAGCCTCAGCGTAACTCAACATTGAAAGCCCCTAATAAAACGCCGCTCATTCAACAACACAAATTCCCCTAGTCAGACCACCGGGGACCTGAGGACTGACGGAACAACTTACAAACTCCTACAAATAAACTAGTCAATCAATTGTAGAGCAGTTTACCATACAGGGCCAGACCAAGGAGAGTCCAGTCACCAATCAAGACTAATAACGAAATTGGGAACCCACTACCAAATCATGCCAGTGAGAGACCCCTGGGGGGATGCAGCTGCGGCTGCGGACGCATGAATGCCGGCGCCGGTGCTGGTGGAAGTCTAGTAAACTGGGATAGCGTGGTCGGCACCGTAGTGGCATTGGTGGGGTGCAGCCGGATAGCGAGGTGACGGAGGGCGGTGCCACAGCGCGCCAAGGCTTTACGTTCATACGCCTCCGCTAGGCGCAAAGGCATCAAGTAGTGCGGGTCCAGCTGAGCGAAGTGCGTGAACCGCTCCAACGGAGTAGGCAGCTCCTCTTGTTGTCGCTGGTGCTCTCGCTCACCCACTATGCGACAGGCGTACACGAAGAGCTCGCAGCTGGGGAGGAGGAGAGGAAACATTAAACACAAACACGGACCATACTTCTACCCAAAACCCTCATTCGAAATTTAAAAATCAGTTCACTGCATCTTCAAATCACCCTTTAGAAGAGGACTTTGAATAGATTTGTCTTGCTCATGGAAAAGGATTGTCAAACTACACAGGCTCATCAGTCACTGCAGGTTTTGATGGCGTTTCATTGATGCCACTTCTGTTAACGATCTACCAGCCCTTCAAAAGCCTCATAGTCAAGTTCCATCCAAACTCAGGATCCTGCACCAATGACAATTAGCCTGATTTCTTTAACCGAGTACCAAACCCGCATACCACCAACAAAGCCGTATAGTGGGTATGGCTGGTTCCAGACACACCTACAAATAAAGGGTTCTCAAAACTACATTAAGTAAGGCAGTCACAACAACTGAGGCGACAACAAGCTTGAACAATTTGACCGCTTCCATTACGAAGCCATCCCGCGGTATTTAAGATGCGAAAGTTAAGAAAGGATACGCTTCCCACGTTCTTGGTAGCAGCGTTGAAAAGAAGACAGTGTCAAGGAGGAACGACTGTTGAATGGTAATGTTATGAAGCTACTTTAGCGGAATGAAGTCACTCAGCAAGTGCGCATCCCAATCCGCTAGAAGGATTAAATTCCTTTTCGCGAGCAAACTAGTCTTCTACTTGGGAATTTCGAGTGAAATTAACAAAGTCAACACGATCAACCGCACAGCACGCGGCAGTCTCGCACATGTGATGTGACAGCGATCAACATATAGTTCAGATGACTTTGAAGTGACGTGCCGGATACGATTGACTGCTTAGTCACGATAGACCACAGCTAAACAATTAAGTGCATCAAAAGTACGACAACTTACACTAGATCACTCCTATCTACTAGGCCACCGAGCCATCGTACGAGCGAATGGCTAGACTTTTGTTGATAGGGCATTGGGTGAAGGTAAAAAAGGAGCGCCAAAAATATCCCAACCAAACGTAAGCTACCAAAGATATCTACCTGACAATCGAATATCTCTGCAAAGTTTAATCTGCCCCTACTGTATTTAAAAGTGGTCAGGAATAGCTTCAAAATAGCACTATTGAAACAATTTTTGTGCTCTAGATAAACAGTCAAATGGGGGAGTCATTAACATCTTTACCACATTTTCATCTTTGCGTCTGGAACGAGGACGATAAGAAGAAGGACGGTACCTGATCGTGTTTGAAAGTGGTACTGTGTACTGAACGCTTTAGTAGCTCAGTAGGAGTATTAGAGCAACTAGTACCCTAAGATAGGGATAACTGAAGTCCGCGTGAGAATGGGACAGGGTAGGATCAGTGACGTAGAAGGCAGTCACACTGAAGTGAAAGTCAATACAAGGCGGACCAGAATTTACCGCGGGTCGTGGGGCTCCGTTCACCTCATTTCTGCTAACCGACCAGCCCCTCTGAACAAACTTCAAGCTGTACTCAAACCCATGAAACTTGTAACGTCTTCAAGGAAGACTTGGACACTACGTTGTCATGTTTGGAAGTGTGATATGAACATTTCTGCCTAGCAAGATGGCTGCTTGTGGAAGTGAATATGAGGGCGAAAATTAGGCCTCCATTAAACTCATTTTCAAGGATATGCGCACATAGGCAGGCGTTATGTCGAGAGCAAAAAATCATGCATTGAATGTATTGCAAAGTTTGGTGAACGCAGAGCACTTCGGGCACCCAGGAGGCTACAGCCACAATCGCAGGAAATGAAGAAAGCATCCTGAATCCAACTCACAAGAAGAGAAGTGAAAAATGATAACGCTTTTTTGAAGAAGGTTGCTACCAAAGTATGCGGGCGTAAATGCAACGAATTCTCCTCAACTTTGGAACAAAAATTACGGAAAATTACGATGCAATAAGAGGAGAGCTCATAAAAATGAAGAACTCGGTCAAGATGTAGAACTCACAATAAAGTGGGGTCATCTCTCTGCGAGTTGCGTGCACACGCATCCAAGAGGCAAAGGAAGAGGGAGACGCCCAGCTGAAATAAGAAAACGAAGGAGTTAGCAGTGGAAGCGGGAATGGACAAGAGACCAAAGAGGGGCAAAGGAGTGGAAGGCTACCCGAGAGGAGAACATGGCGAGTGCGTTGAGCTCCAGTTCGCCCTCAATAAGGGCGTCCAAAGATGAGGCGGTGGCGGAGTTGGAGAGAGGCAGTTGCAGACAGGAGGAGATAAAGGTGGGCGAGGTCTCAGCCCCCTTGTAGATCACGTCACGGCATGGTGCGTATAGCAAGTGTGCGTACTGGAATAACAACGCCAACATGGGAGAATAATAACCGACGGCTTTATAGGCAGGAAAAAAGGGATGGGGATAACTCACGGTGTCAATACCCGCCTTGATGGAACTGCTGATCTTGGCGAATTGAGAGACGAACTCGGCTACACAGAATTGACGATCCTCCTGCAGATAATGAAAAAAATCATAAAAATTCTACAACCAAGGAAATGAAGGCCCGATTCCGTCGGTCCACCGATGGGATGAGCGGAATGAAAACCACTTTCAGACTGTATGCAACACTGATCTGGGGATGACCCGGATGGTACAAGATTCGCAAATTTCCCTTCTTTGGGTGCTTTACAGTACACCAGACAATTACGTGGAGTATGTACTCAACGATGTTTAACGGTTCGACTTCAAACTGAAGGTTTGTTTTGTTCTCTCAAACGGGTATGCGTCCAAACGTTCGATGACGTAGTTTACCTACCTTGAACATGAATTTCTAATGCCTTAAGACGGGAGGCGAGGAAGCTACAGAAAGCTGTCCAATGCCTGAAGGGGATGGTAGTGACTTAGTGTAAGATTTGGTGAAGCAATGAGTGAACAATAGCGTTGCTTGTGGGACGTCTTGACACAAATACCAAGCTCAACAGCTTAACTGACAATTCACTCATTCTTTCACACAAATTTTTTTCGGCAGACCCCCGTCAGCTATAACCAGAACTCAAGAAGTAAAGTGGAAGGGCAGCACAGCACCGAACTTGAAACGGACCCCACCGATCCTTTTTTGAGGGTATGTGAATTCCGAATGCATCCTTTCCATGATTCAACGAATACTTTTTTCATTTGACAAGATAACGCGGAGGTACAGATCACCCTCATACCGTGAAAACATGAGGTTAAAGCTTCGAAACGATCAATTTCTATTACAACACGTTTGGTCCAAGCAGCCAAATTTATACAGCTGCCTGATCCAATCTAACATTATTGAACAATACAGCACACCAAAGTATGATAGGGAAAGGTTTCGCGCTGGAACCTTGAAATCTTCTCCAATCCAACCTCCACGCTGATGGCACGGAGCTATGCTACTAGTTACTCAGCCCCTCTACAAGTTACTTTAAGACTTGAACGATTCAGAACCTCAGAGGATAGCAACCGGGGGCTGGAACATATAGCCGGTCAATACATAACCAACAACTACCCAATACTTGAACAAGCAGAAAGTCTGGAACCGCCCCAGTTGCTAACCGCACCATTGTCTTACCCGACACATCGACGATCGTTAGGGCCTCGAACTGCAGTCTGCGCCAAGATGCGTTGATTCAACTCGAAAATGGGATGAATTATTCACAGCTTTAAAAGAAACCCATAGATAGACACCAACTAAAGCTGATGGTAGATTAACCAATTGATAGATGAATATAAGAACGATCTGTACGAAAAATTTGATAAAAAGCCCGAATTTGGAGCCATGAATAACCTTTCTCCACTTCTAATCCAAAGTGCTCATTCTCCACAGGAAAACATGAGAAATAAATGGATTATTCGTAAAACAGAAAGTACTGATGCAGAAAATCGGCAGGAACAAATAACTCACGGGAAAGAGGAAGCGGAGGATGAGGGGAAAGAGCCGAACACCCTTCGGCACCTCAAAGATTTCCACAGCCAAATGGCGAGTAGCCGAGATTGCAGAGGCTGAGTCACCGCCACCGTTGTTACTCATAACAGCAATGGGTGGCCCAGAGGTGGCATGTTTGATAATGAAGAGGTCGCGGTGCAAGACCTTCAGGAGGTTCAATCGATGTCCCATTAGGTGGCGGGACCTATAGAAGAGAAGAGCGGATGTAAACGTGGTTTGACTAAAAGAGAGAATGGTGGCCTCACTACTCGCAAAACTCACTCGTCATTTCGAACGAAGATGCGCGCCAGTGAGACATTCGTCTCATCGATGCTGAGCACAGTTGCGTAGAGACGCTCAATGCGAGCGAGAACAGCCAGACGTCGACGCTGGTCGACCACGGCCTGGTGGTGCGCGGATCGTGATGAGACCTCTGCAGGCACCTTCTTTGTCGGTGTCTTGTCCGCCACCTTTAGCATCGATGCCACCTCCTCCGCCTACAGTACCGAAATAAAGTCAGCCTTTCACACTCCTAAAGTGGATCAAAAAGCGAAGCGCTTAAGTCCTGCTCAGTCACTGGCTGGAGTGGAATATTTCGCTTTCGGCAACATTTCGAAAGTGCTTGATATGCTGTTGTACCTGGAATTTAAAACCTCGACCTTTCTGGTTTTCAAAGTAGACTTTAAGTTCTCTGAGAGAAAAAAACTTGTCCTGGACTGCTAGTGAGTAAAACGCTACGATTGTGGCTGTTATTTTGCCACAAAATTGACGGTACCACTTAAATGTTTCTCCATGAGATTGCAGTAGAATGATGTTGGTTTTTACCTGTATTTCTGATCACACGAATCTTTCCAGTCGCGTGTAATCAGGTCCACACAGGCGGAGTGAGACGCTGCCCACAACATCAATGCTGACGATCTACCAGCCTTTCCGTAGGCTGTGAGCTTACTCCCAGACCGATGCATTACAAGACTGTTCTCAATTGTAAACAAAAACCAGACTTCTACTTTGAAGCAAAAACTAGTTGTAACAACGTGTTCTTAACGATAGAGCGAGAAAAATTCCAGCAAGATAAATGTTGCATTATTTTGACTCACGTAATTCAAGTTACAAACTCGTCGCCTGATTTTTGCTACCAATCGGTAGCAAAATCTGTTTCAACTTCACCTACTTTTAACTTACTGCCATTAAAATTAACGGTAAAAGCACAATGTCAAATCACAGCCTTGCCAGAAACCAAAAAGTAGCTTGCAAACGTCCAAACGCCAGTTTTAAAGGTCAATTTCAAATGACCTGCCGATCTGTGAGATCTGTTTTACTAGCATCCTTAGCAGCTCTCCGAGGTGGCCCTTAACACGTTCGCTATCAGGAAAACCGACCATCACAGTCCAGGTGTTTCAACGGCCAAATATGGTACCAATTGTCATCCATGTTTGATTAAGTCATCTGCTACTTCCGGAATAAGAGCGTCTTTTACCTGCCCATTTACCGTTTTCAACTCAACCAACCTGTCTGAGCCTCACATTTTCGTGCTACTACAGCTATTCTAGACTGATGATGAGCACGTGTAGCACGTATGATGCGCAAGCTAGTATAATCCGGACACCAAGCATACGTGTAGGACTCTTTGAAGTGGAAGAAGAATACAATCACAAACCTCAGTTTTAAAGTGTTCCTTCTGTTCCTCGTCCAGCGCTGTGGCAACTGACAAGTCGGCTATAATACGCTGAGCATTTATATTGGATTTTGTGGGACGTCCCAGTTGGGTAGAGTAGGGGCCCGCCTCCACCACTGGAGTCGTGGGCGCAGTCGTCACCGTTGGTGGTGGTTGAGATGCCACGGTTGCAGCCGTCAGTTGGCTGTTCGATGCCTCCTCCGCAGGATTCTCTGACTCCATAAGAGCAGAAGCAACGATGGTGCCGGCTGAGGAAGAAGGCAGAGGACGGCGACGACGCACAAGAGTAATGATGAAGCGGCAGCGCAGCGCAATGCGATGTGGATGATCGGGACTAAGCAGCTGCGTAGAGGTGACAGGCGCCGGGATACTGGCGTAGGGCGGTGGCAATCGCGAGGGCAACCCAGTCTCTGCCAATTTAGCCTCACGCACCTTCGTTATTAGGCGCAGAAACTTCACTGCGAAGTAGTAGTCCTAGGAGTATTGGAAAAAAGGACATTTGCTAACTAGTGCCTTCCAACACTTGCAATAAGTTCGTCTAGTCCAGGTTCTTAACGCGCTCGTTACCAAAGTTTCAGATAAGAATGAACCGCCACAGTTCAGGTGGCCTATTTTTCTAGCGCATGACACCAACACTTGCGCTATCAGGGTGACTATGGGGCGTACAGCGTAACCACGGCTACCACAGACTAGCAAAGAGCTCGTGACACACGTGTTTGACATGAGAGCGTTAGCAAGAAAAGCTTAGCGTCACATTTGTATGATTTTGGTGGCGAATGTTACTTTCCACAGGGGAGTTTATGAAATAGAGATACCTCAGCAGAGGGTCGATCAATTCTGCAACTTTTTGTGTGAGTAAGTTCATCACAAAAGTATCAGTAAGCTAGTCTCTTACAAAAGACCCTGCCTAACTAGTATATTAACATTCACTTTTAAAGCTCATAAAGTTATACAATTATAAATGATCAGATGCCTTTAAAATATAGCTGATGTCCTTCATTAAAAAAGGCGATGCCTGAATGAAGCAAATTTTCTGATGACCAAAAACAAGGAACTCTTAATTTTTGAATATTTTAACAGCCAAAGGTGAGATGCAAACACATTTATCCTTCGCTTACCTTGAAATAGTTTTAGATAGCTTAGGCGGGCCCCTAGAAATCACTACAACACAAATCTGCTGCAGAATCAAGAGATCTTCGACCGCCAATACACATTGCGCCTCATCTCAACACCCCTAAGCCAGGTCATGTCCGAAGGACAGGATAATTGATTTACAGCAGCCCTTCAATTCCCAACCCTCATAATTGAGCAATAAAGACCAATGAATCCGCTTTCGTACCCGAAGGCATGATACAAAACCCTAGACATTCCGAATACCCATAAAGGGATTCAGCGAAAACCGGGAGACCTGCAGCAACGTTTACGTCATGGTTGAAACGACCCCAAAAATAGCTGTCACCCCACTTTCCATTGCAACAGAAGTTAAAGCAATTTTATTAGATGTGATCTGGTAGGGTGAAAACACTAAAAGCATCCTTTCTGCTTAAATCGAATCGCGTGGTCGTTCGCCATGCCTGGGTGAGGAGGCACCCATCCATATACCAAACTAACACCGATACTATTTTACAACTAAAAGGTGTTATGCTACAGTGGACCAGGTAGCATCAACAAGGTGGCAGGCAAGCGGTAGTGCGCTCACACTACCACGAAGTGATGGACGAAAGTTCCTGTAAAAGAAGTAGCATAACCCGCGAATGTCTACCCGTATAAAACAGTTCGAGCACAGTGCAGTAATGTACCACTCAAATGCAGTAAGAAAGATGCAAATTCTCAAAGGATGACCGTACGTCTGCCGGTAATAATTCCGGCCGTGGTGCTTCCGTTCGCAGTCTAAACCGTCTCTGTTAAAATCCAGTCAGTGTGGAGAATGCCTGATTAACGCGCAAACAATATATAGTGGAGTTGCACACTGGATGTTCCTAGGCTGCGTCTTTACATGCAACGAAATTAGGGTGCATCCTTTCACTCTGGAACCATGCGGAAGTCAGCATTACAGCTCTGATGACGAGGCAGAGCGAACCATACTGGAGCAATTCGGAGATGCTGACAAAACTTTCTAGGCCAAGCCTGCTTTCTCTGCATTGGGTAAATACTGGAACGGGTGTAGTAACTATAGCAGAGGACTGTCGAAAGGTAAACGCAGTTTGCGCTTCGTGAAAATTGGTCCCTTACTATTGCAAGCTCAAAAGTCTCGGTTTGACTTGGACACCATTCTCGAACGATGAGACATTGTTCAAACGATTATGAACCTACAAACCGATACACCAGATAGGCGAAATCCGAATTACAAATACGGTGTACTCAAACCAGACTGCACGAAACTCTAAAATGCAAGATTTTATAAAACCTACACAAACAAAGCAACCGATATCCAGGTCTGTAGAAAGAATGGGAAAGCCGATTTAAAGTCCCACCCTGAAAACGATAAACAGTCCAGAACGAAAGCCTACCTCCACATAAGGATTACCGACGTTCAGCGATCTAAGTTGACAGTTGAGAACGAGGAGTTGATCCTGAGGACTCATCCAGGCGCCGAAACGCGGATCAAAGGACATCTTGTCGGGCTGTTCTGCCTCGATGCGAGCGGAGAGGATGTCAGATAATCGGGACGCATCGAGTGGGGAAGGGCGCGAGAATTGCGGGAAAAACTGATGCTGTGGTTGTAGCTGCTGCATGGGAGATGGAAAAGATACCTTTGGTGATATTGGAAAGGGCTTCTGAAGGTGACAAGAGGAGGTCAGGGGAGTTGAAGATGATAAGAGTGGTGGAGGAGGGGATGTAAAGCGTAAATAAGGCATGGGTGGACCCGGAGGAGTCGCGAGGAGGCCACTTCGAGGCTGCATCGGCCGGAGCCTCTGCAGAGGCATGCTGAGGGACATATTGCTAAAGGAAAGGGGGGACAAGAATGTCAGCAATTTATTGATAAAAAGGTGCTTATATATGGCCACGTACTTTGGAAGAAAATGCCGCTGAGGAGGAACCACGCCTTTAGAGCTAAGTAGCAGTTTTTGGAGTTGTTCTGGCGGAAGCGTCGGTATTCTCAGGAGTGGCTGCGGCTGCTGCGATGGACGCGGCTGTATGGGAATACTTGGAGTGACAAGATCGGATTGCTATTAATAGATGTAGACAAGATTGCATCCAGTTATGAGAATCAAAGACAAATCTAAGTTCTCAATGAGTATGCATACCATCCCCTTCTTGTAGCATTCAAGATGGCCAGAAAGGGTATTAACATCAAGTGTATTGGCCACAGGTGGTTCCAAGGTTCGGCTCTGAACTACCTTTGGATTGCTTGATACGGTAAGATCTGAACTCAGCCGTTGAGACAGCAAGTCTAACAGTGGATTCAATCTATGGGAACCATGATTATTGTTTTGCATATTGTGAAGGTTATTTTGAGGCAATCCCGTTCCCCAAATATCGCTCGGATTAATAACCGGAGCAACTGGAATCACCTGCTGGGTTCGAGTATGCGAACCATACTTCGAAATATTCAAAATGGCAGGGTCTTCCAGCTCATCCTCACGAACAAGCTTATCTACGGACTCTTCAAGGTTTAAGACCTAACATAAACGATGATTTCCGAACGAAATAGAATTACCGAATCATAGGATTGAGAAACATCCAGATCTCCAGCTGACCAGAAATCCGAAAGATCTGCCGTTTCCCATATCTTTGGAATTTCACAGGGACTGGGAGGGAGTTTATCAGCATCATATTCCATTACGAATTTTTCATGTTCCAACTCCCAATCACCTATGAATCAGCAGAGAATCAAAAACGACATACCAATCTCGGCTTCCCCGAAGGTTTCATTGTTAAGTTCGTCTAGTTCCTAGCAAGAAATGACTACGACAATCTTAAACATACGCTTTCCATGGTAAAAGTAGCAAACGATGGGATCCACTACATCGATACATGAAACGACACCAAGTATGGCCTTCACCAGATAACTGAGTGTGCAATGAGGCCACTTTTGATTCAATAAACAAAATTCCAAGTCTATTTGTGCAACATATTGCAAAGTCGACCTTATTCCGGACCATAAAGTTTTTAACTCATGTTTTAAAAAATTAATACTGTAAATATCAAATGAAGTAAAATTGACAGAATGAGTACTAAAATACAATTTGCCTTCAATAAAAAAGGAAATTAGTCCAAGATATGTGTTTTGTGCAGATGGCTAAAAGAACACAGTAATTAATTGAAATTGTATAAAATTTCTAAACAACTGACATAAATTATGGAATATATTTTTAAATTGTACGACATCAACAAACTTGATGGCTGATAGGGGTTATTCCATTTTAAGTTTCTTTTGCAGTACATCCGTCACCTTTACAAATTGCCGGTTTCCAGTCTTAAGAAGTAAGCTTATTCTCTCACTGGCATGTTCCGTACGAAAATACGGCAAAACGAATTGTTTAAGTTTCCTTACTCACTGGTGGTAGTTTTGTAAGTGTGCAAGGTTTCTTGAGGTAGCTTTGCTTCTAGGTAAGGTAGCCTCGCCACCTTTAATTTTTTCATCCGTGTCCTGTACCTTGGGTGTTTCTTTTGTATTTGGGCACGGCTTGTTCCTTTCACATCTACTGTCCAATGATGTAGCTTATTTCCAGCATTTTATGTTCTTGTATCAATAGTTCCGTTAGTTGGTTCATGCTTTATTGTTCTGAGAAGTACGAGCATTGGGTCTTTTGTCTGTACTAATTGTTTCCTTACCTATGTACAACCGGGATGTTTTGGTTTTCATCGGAAAAATTTCTTACTAAACATCATAATTTCGCACTCTACCTTTACATTAGGAATACTTTATTTGGGATAACACGTTGTGTTTCCCAGGTCTAAGCCTTATTTGGGTTTGGGCCTTCTCTGCTGTCCCCTTAGTCTTTTTTTGGACCTGAAATTTGCTTAAACATGGCTCTTCCTTCAAATGCGTTTCTAGAGGCGGTTACTTTAAGGCGATTCATTTGTTCCTTTTTGCCAGTTATGCATTTCTTAGCCCAAAGCTCACTATTTTTTTCCTTTTTTCCCTTTAGCAATATGGTGTGTGAGAAATGTAAGTTGTTTTCAAGCTATGTTGCAGTCACATTGTAGAGTTCCACTACCCTGTATTCCCTGCACATTTTACGCTTTCCAATTGCAAATTATGAATATCAGTGTTGTTTGGGACGTAATTTCACCTTAAATTCACATGACGCAGTTTTTTTGCTTTTAATATCCAATCACTCCTGTCTCTGTCAGTATGTTAGGTAGCAAATAGCTTATTTTCTTGCAAATTATTCCACATAGGTGAGAAGAAGTTGGTGAGGATCGCGACGCCTGACCCTTGGAAGGCGGGTTCACGGGCTGCAGCAGCTAAAGGACCACGTCGACTAAACGAGAACAAGCTGCTCACGGCGAAGAAGGGTAGATACAACCCCTACTCGAAGGCCTTCCGTAAATGCCGCATCTGTGGACAGAGCGTGCACCAGCCAGAAGCACACTATTGCCAGTCCTGCGCCTTCAAGAAGGGCATCTGCGCCATGTGTGGGGTGCGCCTCGTCGATACTACCAACTACAACCAGTGCGCTGTATGAAAGAGACTCCTCTTGCTCATTCTTCGTTGTCTCTATCCTCTGTCTGTACACCACCCCCTTTTTGACTTTTTCCTGTGCCAATAACCGATTTACTATGTAAGATAGACTCCCCAACCTCTATTTTCATGTATGGCTATGCTATGCATGCTCCAGTATTTTAACTTAAATGGTTGTCTGACGTAAGAGAAAATTTACAATGCTAGGTGAAAGGGTTCCGATCACTTTTGCTCTATCCGAAGTTTTATGAACTACCGACGCGTCGTGTAGGGTAGGTGCTTCTCTGTCCCTTCTGCAGCTCTTTATGTTCTCGAGCTTTGACCTTAATGGGCCACCTGGGATAGGAAGAGAATGAAACCAATAGTTGAGAGTGACTAACAATTTGATTATGGCGCGTTTAGCCTCCCTGAGAGTGATTGATTCCGGAATGAGGCGGTGTCGTGTTTAATTTACATCACTTTTGTGGAACTGGCAATCCAGCGACAGGCGGTTTGAAACAGCAACGAACAGAACATTTGTCGTGGGTCCGGATTTGAGGGTCGGAGTTTCTAGAGTGTTTTCACTTCATTGGTTCCGATGTTTCCTTGCGTCATGAAGGTGCTTCCTTGATGAAATCTGTACCTCAGATAGCATGAAACGTCAAAAAGGCGTTTGACTGCTTGAAAGCTTGACCAGCTAGTAAGTGAATGCACGGGACTTCGGTTTGGTGGTCTGTGAAGCCCCGACTCCGAAAAGGACTTGTAGCTGTAGTGTCTGAGTTCCCCTTGAAGACGTTGAGACGGACGTCTGGTTGGAATTGGTGCATAGGTGTACAGAAGGGCTTGCGGACTGTCAATGGAACTGGCACGGCCTGAGCGCCATGCCATGAAATGGAGAATGACGAACCGATGAGGGTGAACGCACGACTATAAAAGGCGTGGTCCTATCACATAACAATAAGGTTGAGAAGTCTGAGCTGAAAATGAGGTGAAGTAGTCGAAGTGGATATGGATGCATCCCTTAAAACTGCGCACAGATTATCAGTACGCCTTACTCTTCCAAAAAAGCAAATACGTAGCTTGGCATCTGTGTTGATGGGTGGTGGTAAACTGAAGGCGGTCGCAGAAGTGCCGACAGAAAACGAAGTTTATGGAGAAATCTACGCGAAACATGTTGGAATAGTGAAAAAAATCAGAGTAGATTACTCTGCTTGTATGAGCCACTTTACCCTTCTAACCTCAACTGCGGTTCTTATGATAAATTTCGGGAGGCTTCTTTTTTTAATCACAACGTAGTGTTAAATGGAAATAATGATGGTATCTACCCAGTGGTTTAATAATCAGCTAATTTTATGCATTTTAACAAATTCAATTTAGTTACTCTTAACATATCAGCCAATATAGTGCCGATTCGCCGTGTGAGGGGTGATTGTCCCGACCAACTCTTGTTAAGGTGATGCTTAACTAGACCCCCCAAAATGGCTATTACCTGGATGTCCAGCGGCAATTCGGAATTCCTATTTTTAAAAACAGTGGATTTTAAGTGCTCCTGTTAATAAGCGTTGACACTCAGCGGTAGCAATTTTAATAAGACAGTTCGCCTCCTACGGTAAACCAGCCAAATCAAGTTAGTCTATGATCATTAAGAGTCAAATTAGCATGATTTTAAACAAACCAACATATGACACCCTAATTGTGATTGTTTCATCCAAAGTTGTAATTGCTACTGTTAGAGACATTAGAAGTGGATAATTTTGCTTACCTTATGTTTCAATCAAATTTAGTTATGTTGGCTTTTACCACAATTCCAACTGAGGACCCTTTGAAGCAACTTCCTAGATAAACTAAATAAAAATGTGTAGGATCTTTTCGAAAAACGCAGACAGATTCCTCGGAGCATTCTTAATTAAGCACCCTAGTCTTTCCTAGGACATGAATAAAGTAAAATGTCTACTTATTAACTTATAAGTAGGAACTGTGATTCACCGGCTTAAGAATGTTGCAATATAGGGCGCTTGGCATCGTCCTAAGTGCAAGGCTTGATAAATGGCAACTGACAAGACCTCCATTACCACCTGTTGTATCCCCTCACCAGCGGGAACTGTCACAACGAGGCCGATGATCATTGGGAAGATATAGCAAAGTGTGGAGTTCATCAACAACAAAGCGGGTGCCCGAATTTCAGGCTGACCTGTGTGTATATTTCTTCCTCTTTATTGTCACTTTGGTTATCTATGTGATAGTTAGTGAACATATCGAAGTAAAATTATCAGATTGATGCCATGAAATCCTGCGTTATGTAGTTCTACTAGAAGTAACATCAGTCTTCCCAAATGCTTGTAAACATCCTAATCTGCTCTTTGGAATGCATTTCTACATAATTAAAATGGTTTGTTCGATTAATTGAGATTGAGAGTACTGTGATTTCTCAGTTTCTAGTTAAATCTTTAATGAAAAACCAAATTACTTGTCAATTTAAGTCATTTGTCTTCACCTTTTTGCATCCTTACGTCTGTAGTTAATAGGACTTTCGGGCACCTTTGGCAACTTTTAATGAATCGCAACTGAATATTGTCCTAACTCTGCATTGTGTGACAGCACTTTATTTCTTTTTTCAAATTCCTCAATCAGGCATTCCGGTTAGACTAATACATACAGGTGTTTATTACAATCACTTCTAGAAAAGTATTGTGGAATTAAAATGGGAAGAAAGGCAGATGGGTAGTTGCGCCTTTCTGTCTGATGAAATAAAGTTAAAAATGTAGAGTCTCTGACTATGAGGAGACTGCGTAGGGGGTCTCACAACTAGCTATTGCTACAAAGAAATGTACTTCCTCTTTCTTTTTAGCTTCTTCTGAGTCTTTCCCAAAGTCACAGTAAGCTCCACCTACGTGTACTGCAGCTGAGAGGAAGCACAACCTGTGGAGACTGGAGACCTTACGTAGTTTTATATACAGTTTAGCAAATGTCTCAGACCATTACAGATCGGTCCATCATCCATCGAACAGGGTGCACATTACCTTCACATAAACACGGCAGGGACCACTCTTCCAAATCTTTATTAACCTCGAAGGAGCTTTCAAAGGGACCGCAGGCGGTTATTATTCATATCAACCACATTTAGCCTTTAAGACTTGGACTGCGATAGCGTTTGCTAGCAGTTTTTCAATGAATTTAAAGCAGTAGCACCAGTGAGAAAAATGTAAGGGGTGATTTTGTTGAGAAAGTCCTTGAATATTTAGTTTTAGATTTTGCAGGCTTCATGAAAAGAAGTGAAGCTCTTTTGATACATGTAAGTGTATTTTTCTAGAGCTTTGATGTGCGAAATGTGAGCTGGCATGTTATGGACTCTCTTAGCTTCTCCCAGTTTTGATGGCACCACATTGACCTCTATAGTCATATCTAGTTACCTAAGATGACGCAGGAGCAGATATTTTTTGTTGGGGGTTGAAAGCATCTTACAATTCAAAAATCGGAAATGGTGTAGCTGGTAACTAAGGCGACGAGAACAAGGCATGTCCTGGGTCTTTGTGATTTTTTAATATGCTTTAAGCCAACGACTGACGAAACATTTGCATGGAACCGTGGTAGTGGTGGTGCATTCGAAGCGGGGATTCGCTTAGGGTTCTCTCAATATCGTGAATGTGTTCCTCATTCCCCAGAAATCATGACAAGCAGGCCTACACGAGATATTGTTTTGCACAGCCTTAAATAAATCAGCCATCGGCGTGCGTCTCCCTTTTGTTCTAACCGAACCGACTTGAAGTGCATGTAAATCCGCCTTAGCAGCACCCCACCATCTGGGTCAATTAAGGCTCCCCTCCTACTGATGGTACATGACTGTGTGCATGGAAGTTGTTCATCCTAAAGGGCCCTACTTTCGCTGCCCCATGGCCTCTGTGGCGCAGAGAACTGCATCTCAATAGTTACTGCCAACATTATGATAAGCGAAAGGAGTTGTCAAGACGTGGAAGGGGTTGGAGTCCAAACTGATTAGAATTAAGCTCTCTAGGATGCCCGAAGGTGGTGCTGCACAGGAGGGACAGGGGTGGCATCCTAAACACCTTGAGTGCTTGGCTCGGTTCCATATTCAGCAGCTCCTCGGAAAAGGCTTGCAACTTGCTAAAAATCATCAAAAATAAAACCATTTAAATGTGGAGCCATCACAAAGGCAAAGGTGATCAAGGAAATGGTTGTGGAGCTCGTAAGAAATGCGCAACCACTGAAGTTGTTTTATTACCTTCTTGCAGAGGCGATGAGAGGTTAGTGGCACAGGAGTGGTGTGAGCAGAGGGTTAAGTCACTCGACTTGTGTGAGGAGTGAATCGTGAGAGCCTAAGGAGGCTCAAGTAGAGCATTCTGTCACCGCCTCATCACGTCTCAAGTGATTGCACTGGTCTGTAATGCAAACAAGATGAAATCGTGCGTAAGTGCTGTAGGATACTTCTGTGCCTTAATCCACTGCCATAATTTAGAGATGGGACAGAATTCCTGCAAAGATGTCTACATGTAGTTGCACAGGCGATGGGAGACTCCGACCTACTCCACCTCTCATTTATCCGCCTTTTTGGTCACCGACTTTGGCTTTTTCCCAATCTCCAGGAGTCACTTTAGCGGTTCCAGGCCAGTCTTAATGTGGAAATAAATTTCTTTCCACAATGTGGCGTCTCGCGGCTAATTAGAAAGGCCTTTGTTTCAGGGGTGAGGCTAATCATCCAGCTCCTTGCCCTCACTTCTATCCGCCTCGGCAAAGCAGATAGGTCTTGCATTTCCATCGGAATTGCTTTCAAACACGTCCGATTTGGAGGAGAATGGGCAAACACCTGTCTGCTGCAAGCAATGGCCAAAGACACCTTCAGTCAGAGTCCCTCAGCTTAGTTGTCTAAGAAAAAGAGACGAACGTTAATTAACATTTAAAAGACAATCATACCATTTACAGGAGAGTGGAGCGACGGAATAATGCTAGGTCCTATGCTTGTCTTTACAGTCTCCGGCCACTTGATCTTCGTGACTGTAGCTACCTTAGAGTTCTGCTACTAGCCTGCTAGCTCTCCTCCCAGAGGCAGAACTCAAACGGTAGTTCGATGGTGGTAGTGATAGTAGTAGTCGCAATCAGCGAACCCGTACCAAGAGAAGGGCAGCAATTCCGGTTCCATTGGTTGTGTCCTGGGACAAATCGTGGCTTAAATGGAGCGGAATCCTCTAGGCGGCCAGCGTATACTACTGAACATCCGATAAGGCTTTTGACCATGCTAATACTTGACCCTACTTTTTAGCATGGATGAACCCGCCATACCACGGTTGAGTTGCTGCAGGAGAGGTAGACAAATTCAATGTCGATTGGACAGGGGCAATCGAATGGGCAATCCCCGAAATTCCATTAATTAAGGGGCTTGATAAGGCCCTAGATGTTAAAGGTCCAGATTCACTTATTTACCTGAGGCGATTAAACTGGCCCTCACCACTCGGGTTAGGCTCCAAAGGCCTTTGTCTAGACATTAATTAACTAACCACAACGAAGGCAATTAACACGGCTTAATCACTCCTTTTCCAGACCCATTATTGCCTCTCGCATTCTCTCCTTTCGTTTTTTAGTAATCAGGGTTGGGGAAAAAAGAACGAGACCGAAGAAGCGCACAGCCATCACGTTTGTGACATCAAAAAAACCTCTGCATAACGGCTAGGCGATGGGTGGAGGGATGCGAACATCTATTAATGTGCCCCATTATCCCATAGCCAGTAGCTTGCGTGACCTCAACTGAGAGTAAAACCACTTACCGTGGCGATAACACGACTAATTAGGAGGACAAGCTGCCCCCTCCCACCCCCCCCCCCTCTTGGCGAGCTCAAGTCCACAATATGAACCACTTCTATGGGGAGATGGAATGGGTGGGTGGGGGCATAATAGCACTCTCACTAGGAGTTGTGTTTTTTCTGCCTGTTCTGTGATGGGATTATGAATGAATGGTGATTCCTCCCTCCCTTTCCTCCCATTGTTGTTGTTGTTGTTGTAGTGATTACTACAAAATGGCGACTTCTGTGCTTTGCAAATGCAATCACCTCGTAGTGAATTTCGGGGCTACGGTGATAGTTTATGAAAAACTGCAAGTTCTAGGCGTCTTCAAGGTAAAATTTTCAATTATGAGATCTTTTATTCAGCACATTCGCCACCGGGTTCTCCTGGCCCCAAAACTTAACTAATGCAATGTGATGCCGACTGCAGTTATGAAATCAGTCGGTGCTCGAAATTTAGGGAAACAACGACACCCAAATCTGTTTACCAGGTCCCACTGATTGGTAAAATGAGGTCAGACATGTTTGACCTACAGTGTCGAGTGGAAAAATCGGGAAGGAGCGTAATAAGGCTGCTGCGATTCGGTCTCCACACCGGCGACGTACTGCTCTTCTGCCATAAGTTGCCGAGTTGCAACACTGCCATCTTGAAACACGAGGGTAAAAGAGCGTAATAATCACCAGCATCAAATTTGAAGCCGAAGAAGGGAGTTGAGAGTCTCTTCTGAAGTGGATTAATGTCCTTCTGGAAAGCGTAGAGTTTTATACCTGAATTAACTCCAAGGTTTTTATGCTACCTCTATCCGACTGCCGCTCCATCTTTCTGTTTATCATGAAAGCTTTTATGATGTTATTTGTACTAGAGAAGTGAATGAAACTGGCAAAATGATAAATTGTGACACTACATGCGAAATACGGTGTCATCGTCATCCATCTGGTGGGTTCGAATTAGCGGTCCATCAAATGGAATGGAGGATAATTTGACAGTGATCATCATTAATCTGTGGAAACCCATTAATGTATTACTATCTCATCCTTCTGTCATTTCTATGATTTGTGAAACTTTACCGTTGCCTTTAGTTCAGGTTTGTTTTTTTCCATGGTTGACCCCTGTAGAATCAATGGGTGGTGACAGATGGATGGCCCGATCTCGGTCCACCTCGACCTTAAAATTTTCAATCTACATCACCCTATTCGGGGTTCACTCTCAAAACTCATGCCACGCTTCAACAGTTCCGTCAGCAATATGCCAATACTGATAAAATAGCAGGTTTTTGTGAGATCGGTCATTGGAGGATAAAGAGAACAAGCAGGAGAAGATCAGTACTGACAGACAGACGACATTATGATTAAAATGTCTGTGGAATTTAATGGAAAAGTGGCTTATCACAAGACTTATTCAACAGATCGTAAGAGCGATGAAGACCAGTCTTGCGAATAGGCGCCCCGTCAATCCACGTGAGAGATGGGATGATAGCCAGTCCCACTCATACAACTCCAATCTTAACTCGAGTCCTTGAAGGATTCCTCACGCGCGTAGGCTGCCGCTTTGACCTACGAATAATCACACGGTGCAACCAATGCTTCAACTCAGAAACCGTGGTATCTATGCCAGTAAGACTTACATGATAGCAGTCTATGCCAGCCTTGGGAACCAATCTGTGATAGAGCCCCTCAGACTAAAAATATGCCCAACGGAGCTAAGGTCCCGCTCTCTGAAAATTTAACACTGTCATGAGCACGGAAGATGCTGCCTTGCGTTCAACTGCACAAGTAAGTCAACGAATGAAGCGTCATTCAAAGTAGAGTCCCTAAAACAATCTTTTGTCCACTGTTCCCGCTTGCACCAGAACGATAAAGTTACTTATGCCCAAAATAGGTGTCTTTTTCAAGAAAAGAGAAAATCCGTCCTCAGTCGCTTATGAATAGGCGAGGGTCATCTAGCCTTCCCACTATTTTCTAACCCCAAGAGGAACAAGATTGCAAGGCCGAACATGTGCAGCCGCAGCAGTTACTGCGGCGGTAGTTGATTTAAGCGATTAGATATGGATAATGTGGGTTCCACCTTTATGCCAATAGCACAGGCCGTGACGATTCCAGTGGCATGAGTCTGTTGGGCAGGCCTGTGGTCACGATATTACGGCAAGAGCATGGCGGAATCCATTAGGGGATGGGAGAGGGGGAGGTGGCGGAGGGGGTGGGGGGAAGAGGCATTACCGACTCATCCCAGACCGCCGGTACACGCTCACACACACACTCACACGACCCGCCGAATTCGTCCAGCCACAAATGGCCAAGCAAGGCAGTCTGTTAGTTGGTCGGTTGGTTGGATAGTGGGGCTCATCAAATACGCCGCCACAAAACCACTCGCGCACACTCATTTTTCACTGCCTTATGGCTCCCGAGACGATGATCAAAGAAAGTCGCCGCTACCACCATATACTCGCTAGCCCTTCTCCTCTCCCTCTCCTCTCTGATGGAAGCAGAAGCTGTCAAAACAAACACAAAAGTGGCAAGGAAGGGGAAAAGAACGGTGTAGCTACGATTATTTTCCTTTCGTACGTGTAACCCAACAATGGTGACAGTAATTGATGACATGAGAGCCCTCCACCCTGGCTAGCTGGCTAACCGGTTTGTTAGTTGGTTCACCAAATAAAGAGGTCACTGAGAGGACCCATAATTTTTCCCTCCTCGCTGGTAGATAAAACAAACGAACAACAGCATCAACCAAAGGTGAATTAGGGACATCCCATGCGATTGCTGTTGCACCTCCTGGAAGTTGAAATTCGCGAGAGCACTACTTTTCATTGCCACCGCGACGCTGCAATCAATCACCTCAAATGGCCGATACTGATATTCATTAATGTCTGAACCCTCCCTTTCCCCACCCTCACCCCAACTCGTTTTTTTATAAGCTAGGTTAAGACGCTTCCCTCGTCATGATTAACGACAAGGTGTCACCTCTAGGTGTCCAGCTAGCTGGACCCGAGGAGATTATTACCTTTCTCCAGCACTCCAGGAGTGGGAATTTGTGAAAGAATTCTGCATGTCGACATCGTCGTTGTTGCAACCATCAACATTAAAATAAAATCCTCATCTTCTTCCACTTCACCCCACCTCGGTCCAGTTTAGCAGAGGTTTCTGCCCCACAAAACCCACACAACCGTAAAGCCTCGAGTTCGTAAATTTTTACGAGCACTCACGACTGCATATTGATGGCATTTACTTCAAGAAAAGTTTTGAAAAAAATTTCATTGAGGCGTCACACCTCCGTGACACCAAACATCACTCCGATGTGTCCCGATTGGTCAACTAAAAATTTAATTAAAATTATTCTTATGTTAGAGAGGGCAATGTTAGTCAAATCTTTTCGTCTGTGTTGAAGATTTAAAATAAGCTATTGTTTAGTGAGACCAGGCTAGTCCCTCACCTCCTCAATTGCTCCATCTTCCGTGTTCAACCGGCTTTTGCCAGAAAACAAAGTGTGCACCTCGAGTTGATTCTCTAAAGGATAAAATTGTATTCTTTTTGTAGCCTAGGCTCCAAAATGCGACAGTAAGTATACATTGAAGAGTTAGTGAAACTTACTATCCAGAGTTTCATAGAGAGAAACTAAGATAAATTTATTTTTATGAATGCTTGCTTCGAGAATGTCAAGCAGACTGTTTTGCCACAAATATACTAACCAAACATGTTCTACGCTTCTCCAACTAGGGACCTCTTGTCTTTATTATCTGCGTCAGAGAAGACGAGGAGTCATTTTACTTTGTGTGTCAACGGAACTAGAGGCTCCTCCTTATGCCAATTAGAACTCGTAGCATTTTCTTGTCATCCATGACATTTCCCTCCGTTCCTTATGGCGTCCGGCCTGAATCACTACCCAGCACTACGCGTTTTTAATTTCACAAGATAATAATTATAGGTTTCACCAATTAAGACAAGTCTTCTTTGGCATTGATCTCTCCACCTATCGGTGACACAAAATGAGGCAAGAGAGTAGATTAACCACCCTAAGTAGACGCTAAGACAAAGAAAATACCGGTTTATTCTAAGCAAGAGATGATGGGATGCAGAATTCGAGAGAGGCAGTTAATCGTGCCTGAGGCTGTCACACTGGTAATTCTGCCTGACAAGTCGGCTGTTCGTGAGGCTTAGCGTAGGGGTTATCACTCAATAGTGAAGGTGGCTGTCGAAAACATAGGTAAATGGACCCCTGTCATGAACTAAGCTTCGTGAACAGAAAGTATGTGGTGTGCCAGGACCACAGAACCACCTCTACTACCACGAGGCAGAGTTGTGACGTGATGAGTGCCGGGAACTGCGGACGTCCAGGAGGCTGCAGTCACATTCACTAGCAATCACTCAAGAAACCTAGAGCCAATCTACAAAACCGAATTAACTGCAGTTGTAGGATTCACAGAACAGTTAGATGTGAGCATTCAGATCCACCCATGCCATGATTTATGGCAGCCCTAAGTTCAGTGAAGTGTGTGCATACTCGCTATGCAGATGTCTTAGCCAACGACGCAGCACTTTTTTTCCTTCTGTATCAAATCCAACTAGATCATGTATTTCCCTCTAAAGCTGTAACAAGGAGTGAGACATGCAAGTATCATGTTGTTGTGGCAGGCAAAAAAGCCAAATTTATTAATTTAAGTCTTTGGAGATGATGAAAGATGTACCTCTTGGCACCTAGCCTTCACCACACCTTTGCAATTATGACAGGGGTGTAAGTGATCGACTTAAGCTACAGATGAATGGAAAGCATTTGCAACGCCTAAGAAGGCGTAGAAGAATGTGGAGTGATCCACAGCTGGCCAACCCTCCTCCCTCTTGTCAAAGGGGGAAAAAACGGAGTCACGTCGAGCGGAGACGAGGTGAGGCGGGCGAGGTGACAGACAACGGCCACGCCTTCTTGGGTGTAGGTGACAGCGACAGACGTGGGGGCACTATTGGCACCAGTTGTCCGTGTGGGCACTTTTTTACACGAAGGTAATTGACACTCCACAGATGGCACAATAAAGCTATTGACTACCTCGGAGGTACTATGTTTTAGGTAAATGCAGTATCTGACGGGGACTGTCAGCCCTCCTGTCCATTTATGATTTGACTGTTTACATCCTCCCGTGTGTAAGAAGGACGTTTGTTTTGACTCTCTTTGTAACCATGCCAGCCTTTTAGTCTCCTTGACAATGACGCCATGCAGTCATGCTCACGCCGCCTGTGCTACTGGTGTCTCTACGTCCCTCGATGCGCTTATAACCGAACTGTTTCCATAACTAGAGCAATCCATTTCTTTAGGGCTCTCGTTAAGTATTTAGAGGTGACTCAAACGCCAGAGCCTAGCTAATTGCGCTGTTTTTGAATGCAATGGTATTCGAAAACAGCTCAACCTTCCTGAATGTTAAAAGTTTTGCAAAAAGTAGTTAATCTCTCATACATTGTGTGCTATCTTTAATTCATGCTCCATTCCACAGATCTGCTTACTGAGCTACCTTATTTGGAAGCTTCTTCGTCATAAAACACTGTTTTGAAACATACGCCCTTCAAAATGACTACAGCAGTAAATTATGATATCGTAAACAGATAAACATCGCGTCTCCCTCCTTTGGTACCACTTGAAAATGGGCATTACTGTTTTATTCTGATCCGTATTTTATCAAAGAGGCAGCACATTTGGCATAAAATTTACTTTCGAAGGAAAATGAAGGACATTGTACAGTCAAAAGTAAACCTTCTTTAGTGCATACTTTTACATAAGAAAAGGGAGGAAGAAAGGAAAGGGTTCAACACTTCGTTCAATCTCACGCACCGAGACACGAGTTAGAAGGTTGATAATATGACCATCCTGTGAAGCATCGCCCTATTCACCCTTAAAAACGTTATTATTGTCCACGTAGTGAAGGACAGAGCATCTACGGGCATGGAAGACGGAAAAACCTAACCAGTACCAAATACCGCTCTTCTTATATCTTCATCATTCG